TGCTCCTTGTGCTGGTCTTCAGTGGCCTGGGGGGCAATCCCTTCCCTGTGCTAACCCAGACTGGGTTTCCCAACATCCCTGAGAATTGGTGGGAATTTTCCTCCCAAGGCATCACATACTTTGGGGTCTGCACTGCTCAAAGAGCACCTGAGAGAGGGATAAAGGTTCCCTTCCTGCTCACCTCACCCAGCTGCAAAGGGCTCTGTAAATCCCTGCCTGTGGCAAATCCAGGTTGGGATGATCCCATGCTCCTCACCGCTCCCCTAAGGCCGGCCTTTCTCCCCTTTCCCTTGCAGGGTTTTCTGCTCCTAACTGGACCCTTCACCCCAAGGGGATGCCAAACCAGTCCCAGCACCTGCTGCCCCCTCCAGCTGGAGGGCACTGGGTTTTGTATTTCACGGACACGGTGGCTCCTTTTCCACGGGGAACTGCCCATGGAAAGCGCTCTGTCTCTCGTCCTGTTGTTGTGTCCTGATGATGATGATGATTTTTATTTCCTTTTCTTCCTCTTTCTCTTGCTCTTGTCCTGTGGCCATTTCTTCCCACCCCCCACCCCCCCCCCATCCCCCTTTTCCCTTCCCTGGATTTCCCCACTGAAGTACGATGGCTTTATAACCCGCAGTGGCTCTTTACAGAACTCCACATTTCCCCTCCTTCTCACGAGGGCACTTTGCAGCTGCATGAAATCACCACCTTCGTGATCACCCGCCGTTTTGGTGTTTTTGGGGGAGAGCAGAGGTGGCAGGGGGTGGGCAATGGCTTGGCCTTGTTGCTTGACCAGAGCAGGGGGTCGTTCCCCCCAGGATCCCCCTTTCCCCAGCTCGGGGCTCGGCTGAATCCTCGTGTTTTCATGGCTTTCCTTTAGACTTGTACATATGCCCGAGGCTGGGGGCAGATGATGTGCAGTGCCCTCGTGCCTGTGAATTTTGTTCACCCCCAGGCAGCCTGGGTACAGATGTGTCTGTTTGTGTCAGGATTTATGTGTCATGGTTTCTCCTAAATGGGCTCTGTGCTGTGTTTGCCCCTTCCTCTGCTCCCTGTTCCCTGTGAGCCTCCCCCTCTGCTCAGTCCCCCACTTTTGCTGGCATGAAAGTCTTCCCCCAGAGGAGCAAGCACAGAACACGCAGGCTGATGTGCATGCTGAGGAAAAGCTTGTGGCAGTTCTCCAGAGGGTTTTACAAGGAGATATGGGATCTGCAGCCACGATGCTGGTGGGAGAGATTGGGACCGGCTGCGTTCCAGAGCTCTGCACGCTGTGAACCCCCTCCCAGGTGAGCCTGGAAAGCCATGAGGATGGGAGAGAAGCGTCTCCAACTCCAGCTGCAAGAGGCACCTCTTGTTACAAGGCTTATTTGGAAGGCAGCACATGGAGGGTTGTGGAGGCTCCAGGTCCTTGGTGAGGATGTGCCAACGGAGGACTCCTGAAACCCCAGAGAGCACCAGCTCCACCTTAGCACGGTGTCAAGAGCAGGTCTGGCACAGCAGACCCCAGCCACTTCCACAGCTTTGGGAGCAGAAAATGCCAGCGTGGAGCGACCTCCTGCCAGAGAAATGAGCGTGGCATCCCTGTGGTGAGCCAGTCTCCTCTGCAGGAGCACGAGCTGTCCCGGCCAGGACATCTCCTGCGAGAAGGGAGGTGAGGTCAGCTGCAAAGGTGCTGTGTGATTCTGGGCTCTGACACCCTCACACCTCAGCCCTGCTGCAAAAACCTGGCCCCAAAAGCAAGCTGTTAACACACAAAGGTCTCAGTCCCTTTAACAGGGAAGAGCTGCCTGCGAGGTAAAGCACGTGTGACCTTGTGCGTCCTTCCTCCTCCTCCTCCCTTCCTCACCCCGAAGAAGGTTTGTCTTCCCTCGTTGCCAGGACAAGGACAGCAGGACGTGGCTGCAGCTCTGGCTGGAGGCAGGGAGAGGAGGTTGGCATTTTGAGGTGGCAGGTGCTGGTCCTTTCCTCCTGCCCCCGCTCTGCTGAGCTGTGCACTGAGGCTCGTACGGAGCGAAGCACCGAAACCGGCCACGGCAGAGGCTTTGTCCAGGAGCTGCACTGGTGAGCTCGCTTTCAGAGCGCTAAGATTGTCTGCCCTAAGCCAAAGTCAGAACAGAAACAGCTGCAGGAGGTTTGCTGCTCTCCCAGCCCACCGAACGAGCCGTGCTGGCTCCCTTGCCCCGGGCTGTGCGGTTCCTCCCACCCTCATCCGAGACCTCCCGCCCTCTCCTTCCTCTTGCCTGGCCACATCTCCACGCGCCGTGACCGTCTTCTGCAGCTCTGGCTCCCTGAACGCTTGACGAAACTCCAGCCCAAAATCCAGGAGCGAAAGGGCTCCTCCAGGCACCGGGAGAATGTGAGATCCTGGCCTGGTTTTTGCTGGTCCCAGCAGAGGGAGGTGTGAAACGCGAACGAATGCTGCCACGGTGTGGCCGGAGCCGAGCTCGCCGGGCTGGCAGGAGACGGGGACACGGCCAGGTTTGTGTCAGCATCCCCGGGGCACTTCGGGACCTGGAGGTGAAGGCAGGGCAGGGCAGGGAAAAGGGCAGCCCACGGTGCATCTCTGTGGGTTGTGCCCTAATGCCGAGGCGGGCAGTGGGATGGGGGTCCCTTTGCTGGGTCCCTTTGCTGGGTATCTTTGCTGCCTCCTGGGCACAGGAGCTGTTTGTGGGGACAGCTCCCGGGCTCCAGAGCCTGGTCCTGCCCCCCAACCCTATGGCTGCAGAAACACAGCTAAAGAAATAAAATCAAACTCATCCTCTCCTTTGGGGTAATTCAGTTTTGGCTCTGGGCTTTGTGCTCTGGGCCTCCTTTGGTAGAGAAGGAGAGATACGACCTGAGGAGGAGGGAGTGCCCAAAGAAATGCTCTTGTCTTCATCCTCTCTCCAGCTCTCCCTGTGTTGCTGGCAAGTAGTTTCCTCCTGCCCTGCCTTCTGCCTGCATGGCTGTAACACCTCCCACCTGGCAATCATACCTCTGCTGGATGCTGTGTCTGAGCTGAACGGGCTTGCTTTTCCCACACCCCAAAACTCGCCACCTCCATCTCCCCCTTCCGCCTGAGCTGCTGGTGGAAACAGCAGGGAACTGGTAAAACCCTCCCACGTTCAACAGGCACTGGACCGGTGAGTCCTTCAGAGCCCTTTGGAAGGGAAGTAATGAACGTGTTTTAAGGCCATAGTCCCTGCCTGGCCCTGGAGGAGAAGAAACACCATCCCTGCCGTGATGGCCCACGGAGTTTATGTCCCCCCAGGGCTCCTCTCTGCTCCCACTGAATAGGACCACTCACTCCTCACAAGCCACTCTGGGAATTTGGGTTCAGTGTTTTCTGTTGAGTCAGTCTCAGACGGCTGAATTTCTCTCCTTCATCCCCTTTGCCTGCAGGGCCTTCGCGCTCCCCTCGAGCTTAATTTTCTCCTGCAGCACAGAGGGAAAGAAACTTGTGGATCTGCTTTATTATTCCATAAATGTGGCTCTTCCAGCAGTTGTCTAGACTCTGCCCATGTCCATGTGACATTTCTGACGTGTGGGTGTGGTCACAATGTCTCTGGTATGAATAAATGCAGAAGGTGAGGTGGGATCTGCCACAGATGAGCTGCTCAGGGGTGTCACACGTGGAGGGCCTGTGCCCCTTGGGCACTCAGCTCACAAATCTGTCACCTCCAGGTGCCTGCTGCCCATCCAAGCTCCTGCACAGCCCCCCAGGGGTCCAATGGCAAGGGCAACTCATGGACACCCAGCCATACCCAGTGTGCCAGTCCCTCTCCTGGTGGATATCCACCGCCACCATCACCCTGTTTGAGCAGCTCTGCTCCTTTTTGTTCCCCAGGTACTAAAGAGGCTCTTCTCTAAACAGGAGATTTGATTTTTCAAGACACAGTGAAGTGGGGGTTTTCTGAAAAGATTCGTAGGTCCTTCAGTCATCCACAGAAAGGCATTCTATGGACTTGAAAACTCCTGGAAAAGGGTTCTCTGTTTTCCCAACCTGCTGTTCCCACCAGCAGGGAAAAATCAGTTCCTCCTTCGGTGCAAGGGTACCCGGTGCCTGTGTTGTTGATGAAATTCAAGTGTTTCATCTCCCCAGAAGGACGGCCTGGGAGTTTGTTGTTCTTCTGTTTGTGAGAGACAGCAGGAAAGTAGTGAGATGTCTGCCATCAGGAGTGGCCTCACAGAGATGTCACCTCCACAGCTGTGGCTGTGAAGGCCTGAGCTCGTCACACCTGAGGAACTGAGCCCGTCACACCCCTCCTGGCCAGAGAAATGGCTCTGACTTTGGGCTGTCCTCCCTCCCTGTCCCCTCCTGCGCCTCTGTGTCCCCAGGGGCGAGCAGGGGACTGTTCACCCCCCGAGCCAACGTGTCTGTGCATGCCCAGGCAAGCTGCAGCTGTGCCCTGAGCGAGGAGGACCACGGCTACAGCAGGAGAGGAGATGGGAAGCGCCAGGAGCTGCGTGAACCCGTGTCCATCTGTCATTGCTCCCGCGGTCCCTTCGCTGTCGGTGTGCGACGCCTCCCACCCCATCCCGGCTGCAACCAGGCTCCCTCTGCCACTTCCCTCTGGAGATCCCTCCCTTCTCCCCCTCAGCCCTGCCTGCCCAGCCAGAAGGTGCAGCCAGCTGCTCGGCACGGGCAGGTCCTGGGGACGGGCACGGATTTACAGTGCCTTGTGCTGGGAAGAGCCCGTTGCTGCGGGGCCGCCCTCCCGCTCCCGCTCTCCGGCTTCGTCTCACGAGGGAAATGCTGGGTGGGCAAATTGCCCCTGCCATCACAGGGGGCAAACCTGCAGCCCTGCTCAGCTGCCCTCTGCGACTCCTCTGCCAGAGGTGGGCATTTAAGGGGGTGTGGAGGTGTGGGTGCAGACTGTGAGCACCAGGGGTCTGTGAAAAGCTTCCTCCTACTGGAGAGCCCGTTTTGATCAAGCTGGTGGGGGGGCAGAGGGTGTGTCTGTGTCTGAAGCCTCATGGACCTGCACCAAGCCCAAACCAAAGCTGCTGCCTCCTGACATACGACCACTGAAGCCGCCAGACTGCCCTCTTGAGGGCTCCCACTGTTTTTTTGGAAGGATAATTTCATGCTCAAAACTAAATTTTGTTCCTTCTTCCACTGGGGACCAGTTCCCAGCTTCAGAATTGCTCCGATAACTTTGCAATTGCGTTGATAGTTCCAGAGGGGAGCCCAGTCCCTTTACAGAACAGATGGAGACACATTTTCAGGACCATTCAACTTTACTGTAACTCTCTTTGTTATGACAGTTTCTTCTGCTCTTGGAGGAAGAGCAAAATTCGGCCAGCGCTCTTAAAAAACTGTATTCCTGAACTTAGTGGACAAACTTAGTGTAGGATCCAAGTGCTCCCAGGTCCAAAATGCCTTCCACACCCACTGGCTTCAGTGGCCCTGGGGATTTGGGCAGCTTGCAGGATCAGGCTTGCACAGCAGCAGCAGCAGCAGCAGCAGTTTTATGATGGCAATATTTTTGCTGTGTCAATCTGCACTTGCACGTGCCTGCAATGCATGGCTCCTGCAATCCATCTGAAATCCGCCCTCTGAGGGAGGTCTGAGCTCCAGCTTCTTCCATATGGCCCTGCCTGTTTTAGAGGGAATCAGGGGAGTGGGAGAAAGCTGAAGGGGCTGCTGCTTTAAAGCACTTGGTTCCAGAAGTAAAACAGAGCTCAGGAGAGGTCAAAACTGTCGTGATTTTAGCACAGATAACTCATGAAATATTCAAGCATTGTGATGCAAATCCACCTTTTTTCCTGCTATGCTGGGAATGAAGTAGACTGGAAACTCTTGGCCTCCACCCCTACAGGTGTTTGGCTGTGATGGAATTTTGAGCCATTGAATCACAGGGAAAAAAGGAAAAAAAACAGATAGTGAGTTCCTAGCTGAGCAGTGGCAGCTTGTTTAGCAGTGAGAATCTCTCACTGCCTTATTCGTGTCCTACCTGGCCAGATTTTGGGGAGGGAGGAGGGAGGGAGCACCTCAAAGAGGGAAGAAATCAGACGTATAAATCAGACCTATGAGCCTTGCCTGGAAAATCCCTGGTTTATCAGGAGCCAAGGCTTTGCAGCTATTCCTCCCTGCTGGGGGGGGGAGGGGAGTGGGTAAGACACCAGGGGCTTCTGTTGTATCTGTGGGCCAAAGCTTGCAGAAACTGCTCTGGGGCTGTGGAAAAGCAGGAACACGGTGCTAGGCTGGGGATCAGCTCCTGCCAGGCCTGTGCACAGGTCTCTGCAGGGCTGGTGCAGGAACCTGCCAGGGAAAATCCTCGGCAAAGTATTTTTCTTCCGAGGGCACCCCTAATACTTCAAAAACTGAAAGACTAAAGGCTGAAAAAGTTGACCTGAAAGAGCTTGTTGCTTTGTTTTCACGTGTTGGTTCTGAACCAGAAAGCAGGCAGACAGTATATCAGCTTGTTTCGGATTAAATCAAATGTTTTGCTCCTACAGTAATTGCTAAGGGAGATCTCAAAATTTTCCAAGGGCAACAAAACGGCCTTAATCATCCGAGACATTAATGCTACTTGCTTCTGAGCCTGCTTTTTGGATTTTCCTCTCTGTGTGATCGTGGCATGGAATCATGTCTGAACAAAATACACTTTACAGTAGTCACGAAACAGAAACAGAAGACGGTGTTTCAGAACCTCCAGCATTGAAACGATGGCTTTGAAGCCAGTGAGATTCAATGCCAAATCCCTGCTTTGCTAGAGTTCTACAAAATAGGCAAATCCCCACAATTCCCAAGGTTGAATTCCCATGCTCTGCTGCCTTGAGATGCCTTTAAAAACCCTGGGCTCTGTGTGCTGTAAAGAGCTTGTGAGTAGTCTGCAGCTTTTCCAGAGTGCACACAATTCCCCAGGCAGTGGATGAGCAGCGAGATGACTTTCAGCCAGGACTCATTGCTTTTTAGATTGCATGTAGTTAGAAACATGAGTTCTGCCAGCTGCCCGGGGAATTTGATATTCAGTGCCAATTAATTTTTGTAATAGGAGCAGGGATTTGTTCCCCGGGCTCCCTTAGGCACCTTTGAAAAGTCTAAGACTCAAAGGTTGGTTTGGGTTCTTTGATTTCCTGGTGGCCTTCTCCTGAAGAGCAGTGGTGCCACGACGAGGAAGGGGGCTGCTCTGGGGAGGGTGGCAGCTTTGGGGCAGGCAACTCCCAGACTTTCTGCTGCAGAGGTTTTCTAAACTCTTCAGATGTGGGTAAATTCTGCTGGGCTGGACGAGGCTCCAAGCCCTGGCTGCTCTCTGGCCCTCCTGCTCCCTCCGCCCTCCCCCTCAGCGCCTCCTCATGTCACTGTGCCTTCATTTGGTTTATGGAACGATGCCATGATTTAAGATCGTCTTTACTCTCACTTCGCATCCCATACGACAGGTCCCGTGCGGAGGGGAGGGGGGAGCTTATTCTGTAGCTTTTTGTGTGATGCCAAGGTGGGTTTCCCGTGAGGAGCGAGGGGGTGGGGGCGGTGGCAGCGGGCTGAGCCGCTGTTGTGTTTGGTCCTACCAGTGCTTCAAGCGTGGTCAGAAATGTGGTTCTCCCCTACCTCCGAGCTCTCAATGCTGCTAAAACCTCTGCCATTCGTCCAATGTACTCCAGCCCCTCTCTCGGACTGACTCTGGCTCTGTTTGCAAGATATCCACATTGTTCTGAAGCATGCACCTCTTTCTGTATAGTTCCAATCTTCTGATTTTATGGAATACTTATGCCTGTTTGCATTACAGTCAAAATAAAAAAGTGAACTAAAACCTAGAGGGCCTCGTTCTTCTCTTATCCCTGGGTTTTCAGCACGGAAAGGCCTCTGCTGATCCCTTGGCCTTGCTCTGCTCTGCCACCTGTAATGCCAGAGCACTATAAATAGCTCGCTGGCGTCAATCAGCAATACCCGTTTACCTGCCAGACACAAACACCTCCTTGGAAGGCTGCTTGAGTCACAGCACTCCATGTTTCACATCATTTAGACCATGTCCTTGGGGAAAATGGCACAGTCAAGCAAGGAGGGCTGTTTGTGCACAGTCCAGGGCAATTTTGGTGCTGGAGCCTCTGGAATGCAGCAGCAGCAGTGCTCCAGGCAGGACCAGAGGGACCTGGGAATGGCCGGATGGGAATGAGGCAGAAGTATGGACATGGCTTCTACCATGGGAAGGCAGCACGCTGTTCCAAGGGGGAACCTTCCAGTACTAGAAGGGGGCTTATAAAAAATATGGAGAGCAACTTTTTACATGGATAGGTAGTAATAGGGCAAGGGGGAATGGCTTCCCACTGCCAGAGGGCAGGGTTAGAGGGGATACTGGGAAGGAATCCTTCCCTGTGAGGGCGAGGAGGAGCTGGCCCGAGGGGAACATGGCTGCATGTTACCTCAGCACAGCAGCAGTGCCACCTCAGGGACTGCAGTGGTGTTACCTCAGACAGCATCAGTGCCACCTCAGACATGGCAGTGATGTGACCGCAGACTCTGATGGTGCCACCTGAGGCACAGCAGCTGTGTCACCTCGGGCAGGGCAGCAGTGCCACCTCAGACATCACCACGGCAGTGGTGCTGCTGCCCAAACTTGCCAGACACAGCAGCAGGCCCCACGGTGCCACCTCACGCACCACGCTGGTGTTACCTCAGTCCCCACAGATGTGCTACCACAGGCACAATGGTGGCATCACCTCAGGGGTCAGTGCAGACAGTGAGGTGGCTTTATCTGAAGTGTTAGTGCAGACACCTGAGACGACGTTACCTCAGGTACTACTGCAGATACTGAAGTAGCATCACCTGAAGTGTCATTGCAGATATGGAGGTGACAATATCTCAGGGGTCAGTGCAGACATGGAGGTGGTGTGACCTAGGTGCCACCACACACATGGCAGCAGAACGCCCTCAGCCAAGGCCTCCCCTCTGCCCCCCCATGCCCTGTTAGCCTGCCACCCCCGGCTCCTGCAGCCTCCCCCGGTGCCTTGCTGAGTGGGGGGGAACAGGGGTCCCATGTCCCCACTGCCCCTGGGGCTGGGAATTTTGCAGACCCACCTAAACCCCACCATGTCCCTGCCCAGGAGAGTGCGTGTGGCACTTGTGATCACAGACTGGTCCAGGCTGGAAGGGACCACAGTGGGTCATCTGGTCCCACTTCCCTGCTCAAGCAGGGCCATCGTAGAGCACATGGCACAGGATTGTGTCCAGACACTCCTGGAATATCTGCAATGAGGGAGACTCCACACGTTCTCTGGGCAATCTGTTCCAGTGCTCGGTCACTACGCAGTGAATAAGTTCATCCTCATGTTCAGGCAGAACTTCCTGGGCAGCAGTTTCTGCCCACTGCTTCTCATCCTTGCGGTTGGCACAACCGAGCAGAGCCCGGATCCATCTTCTTAGAGAATTACAGGATACACATTAATGAGGCCTTCTCTTGGAATTCCCCTTTAGATATTGATACACACTGATGAGGCACCTCCCCTTAATGAGGTCCCCCTTGCAACATTTATACAGATTGATAAGGTCCCCTCTGGGCACTCCCCTTTAGGTATTGATCCACATCAGCGAGGTCCCCTTCTGGCACCTCCTTTTTGATGTTTATACACATTGACAAGGTCCCCTCTTGGAAGCCCCCTTTTGATATTCACACACCTTGATGAGGTCTCTATTTATACATTTATACACATTGATGAGGTTTCCTTTTAGATATTCACACACATTTATGAGGACTCTATTTACACATTTACACGCAGAGCTGAGGTGCCCCTTTAGCCATTTACACACTGATAAGGTCTCTACTAGACGTCCACACACCCTGACGAGGTCCCCCTTCAGACATTCACACTCCCTGACGAGGGCCCTATTAGACATTTACACACATCGACGAGGTCTCTATTAAATATTTACACACCCTGCCGGGGGTCCTCCTTTACCCCCGCCTTCCCGCCCCGCGCCGAGTTCTCCCCTCAACCCGTCCCTGTCACACGCTCCCTCCCCTCACCCCGTCCCCGTCAGAGGCTCCCTTCTCGCTTTCTCCTCTCATCCCGTCCTTGTCAAAGGCTCCCTCCTTGCTCTCTCCCCTCATCCCATCCCTGTCAGAGGCTCCCTCGCCGCTCCCTTCTTGCTCTCTCCCCTCA